CCCCAAAACCCCAAAACCCCAAAACCCCAAAACCCCTATCGACTCAATACAAGTTGAATTTGATGAATTTGAAAGAAAAGCGTTATTTATGAAATTCATTCTCAAATATGACTTGCTTAATCATCTGATCAATATCCTCTTCTTCATAATTCTCACTTACAAAGCTATCTGTTTGTGGAAGCATGTGAACTTCATCAGCTTCTTCCTCAGCATCCTCAAACTCAGGAGTCATTACATTTTGATCAGAATCTCCACTATAAGGATCTCCATCTTTAGCCTCCAGTTCTTTTCTAGAATGCAGGTTTTGTCTCATTTTCTCAAGTCTTTCCTGAGCAGTATGGCTATGGACATCAAAGAGCATCGATGCCTTAGCAGCCTTCCTTATTTGCTGTTTCATTGGAATAATATCAGGCTTTTTGAGGGATTGCTGCTCCTCTTCTATTTGCTTTTTCCTAAGGATCTCGTCAGCCATCTTTATAGACTTCTTGTTGAGTTCTGGCTTGAAAGTTCAGGATATCATTTCTTCATCAAGTTTCTGTTGCTGCTTTTGCTGTTTTTCCTCCTCAGTTAAAAGAGGTGCAAAAATAGGGGCATTCCTTCTTCCTTCCACTATTCTCTGTGATCTGGTGATTTCAGGCTGGAAGGTTCATTCTATTTGATCTTCAACCTCCTCATCCCTCTTAGAAACATAGTGGTTCTCCTTATTATACTTCTTGGCATCTTCATACTGGCGGATAACTTGAGGGTAGAACTTTTTGGTAACCACAGGAGGAGCCCTCTCTTCAGCTGCTAAAATATCTTTTTTAATCTGGTTCCTTGCTGCTAGGGCATAAAGTCTTTCATGAGGTGTAACCTCCCCTTTATTTCAACACTAATTTTCGCTTTTTCCTCTTTTCGTAATCAGGTGTCTCTGGATGAGCAACTTTCTTGGGTCTTTCATAATGTTTCATATACCGAGGAGTCTTTTGCTTCCTTTGCCTGCGAAATTCGAAGCTATCATCACTCTCATCTGAGGATGAATAGGTTTGATAATTATATTCATTCTCAAAGCTGCTTTGAGATTTCTGAATAACCTCGTGTTTATTTAATTTCCCCTCTAATCATTTCAAATTCGTCTTTTAAGCCATATTTCTTGGTAAGGTCTAGAGCTTTAGCTGCCAAATCTTCGAAATATTGAGTGAGCTTATCATCAGAAGGTTTGGTGTGTCCAGAAGAATCTCCAGGGCTACTATTTTTGTTACTTTTATACTGATGTCCTATTTTTTAAGTAGTAGTCTTACCTTGCCAGGGGCTAATTTCCATGGTATAGCTGTTAATTCTCAATTTTAATATAATTTCTTGGGGTTTTGGGGTTTTGGGGTTTTGGGGTTTTGGGGTTTTGGGG